ATTTATATATATATATATATATAACTTATCTCCCTCCTCTCTCTAGCTGACCACTTAATTTTTTTTTATTTTCTTGAGTGTGAGAAATTTATATTAATCATTACTGATGAAGATTAAAATATAAGGTTATGTGAGCTTTTAAAAAGTTACAATTTTTAAGTCATCACATAAAATTAAATTTTAATAATTATATTATAATTACTTAAACATGAGAGTGAGAAGAGACGTAACCATGTATTGATAATCAAGATTAGAAGGGAACTGATTTTTTCTTTTTGCAAAAAAAAAAAAAAAAATCTTCATATCCAAAAATTCATGATTCTTTTGAATTATAAATCTCATTAATCATAGATCTTAGAAATAATTAAAATGTATTTGGTTGATCATAAATATTTTTAAAAATATTTTTTATATATTTTTTTATTAATCAAATATTTCATAAACTTTAATAATCTACTACGATAAATAAGTTAAAAAAGATAGCATGATATTTATATTGTAGGTTTATTTTTTAAAATTTGAAAAGGAAAATAAGTTCTCACATTTTCATAAATTTTATTTTTTATAGAAAACATAAGATAAGAAAAATTCTAGTAAACAATGGTTTTTTTTTATTTTTTATTTTTACGAATGCTACTTTTTAAATAATAAACTAAATATAAAAAATTAATATTCTCAAATTCGTATTCCTGGAAGTTAAAATTTTTTGTGCCCAGACACCTTCTCAGATTATTGATAGCTATGTATTTAATGAAAGGTTAAGTTAACATCGTTTTTAATTGTCTAGCACACTACATCATCGATCTATGACTATTACTTGAAATATGAAATTATATAAACTTTTAAAACTTATTTGTAGGAAGCTCTAACACGGTAGAACAGAGATGTCGTATGAAATCTTACCCAAAAGAGATACTATTCTTTACATGTCTAAATTTATCCTTAAACACCTCAATATTATATTAATGAATTGACGACGTAAGTTCTCTTCCATAACAAGTTTTATCCGACTACGTCACAGGAAAGTCTTCTCCTTTTTTAAACCATTAAATTTTGTAATTATATTATTAGTATAAATATTTATCAATTTTTGTTGAATTAACATGTGCTAAAAATCATAATTGAATATTTTTAGTGAGATCTTTCCTTTTTCATACACAAAACTCTAACATAAAATCTTACTTAAAAGAATTAGATCAAGATTTACGTGAAAACCACTTCTACACTATTAAATAGTAATACAATAAAATATTGTTTAATATTTTATTAATCTTTCGTAAAATATAGTTTACCTGTAAAACCCACAACAACAGTAACACATGAACTTCCCTATAAATATAGAAAGGACTTCTTGTGTTATATTATAAGTGTTTGCTGACACTAGCGTGTTTTTATAACAAAGTTGTTGCTTCCAGGTAACACATGCTGGCATTCACCCTCTTTTTCTGCCTTTTTTTTTTAACAGATTCCTATGAGGAATATTTGTTGAAGGATTTGTTAATCTATACACTAGTAGTAATGATCTTCCTATGCTTTCACAATAAATGTCACCATTTTCAGTGACGGGTGTTGCTTCATTTTATGCAGTGACATCCGAGGCAAGCTTCCCTTTCCACATAAATTCAAGGTATGAATATGATGCACCTTAAATAAGTGTCATAATGTTTCTCTGTTATCTTAGGGTATTTTAAATTATTTGATTGCTTGTTCTGTAAGCCTCTGATTGAGTCTCAAAGTAATCCATTGCTGGTTCTGGTAGCATTGATGGACAGTGTGTCCCACGTAGATTCTCTGCTAGAGATTCTGTGTTCTGAATTATTTGCAAAATGGACCTACTATATATGAACAATGACTTATACATATTCTGTTGAATTTGTTTCAGTAGTTACAAGGGTCTGCAGGAAATGGCTAAAATCTCCATCTTGTTTGTGGGGCTGTGGCTACTAGTTAACTGGGCAGGGTTGTTGGATGCAGAACACATGAACATGAAGTACAAGGACCCTAAACAGTCAATTGATACCAGGGTTGAGGATCTTGTTAGCCGGATGACCCTTGAGGAGAAAATTGGCCAAATGTTGCAGATTGAACGCAAGTATGCATCTGCTGATTTGGTTAAGAAGTACTTTATTGGTAATCACTAATCATAAGACCTTACTGGACCTTTTTGTTTTCACTTTTCTCTATTGTATATTCATTCAATTGGACAATAATGGAAATTATTTCCCTTTTGAGTAGGGAGTGTAATGAGTGAGGGAGGGAGTATTCCAGTTCCACAGGCTTCTGCTGAAACCTGGATTAACATGGTGAATGAATTTCAGAAGGTTGCTTTATCAAGCCGGCTTGGAATTCCGGTGTTTTATGGGATTGATGCCGTTCATGGCCACAACACTGTTTACAAAGCTACTATTTTTCCTCACAATATTGGTCTTGGAGCTACCAGGTATATTGATATCAATCATGTTTGTCACCTACCCGTTTAAGGAATGTGGGTGAAAGGAAGGAATAGAAGAAAATAGCAACAGAGAAAAGGTGAGAGATGTGAGTGAGTGTAAAAAAAATAAACGCCATTTGAGTCATGATGATGAAACAATTTAGACATTAGTTACCAGTACCACAGATTCTAAAGCAACTCAAACATGTATAGGTTTGCGTCAGACATGCACAACCTAGTCTAGAAAATGAGTATGGTTGTTTTATCTGGTTTGTACCCAAGAAAAGCTTTCCTCTGGTATGCTATTTGTCATAAAATTTGCAATAGATGGGCAGTGTGGGTATGCAAATCATTTAGGAATTTACCTTAGCACAAATTATTCTACTGTTATTCTAATTAATACATTTCTTGTTACAAAAGATAATAAAGGATATTTTTCTTTTGTGGGTTAGGGACCCTGAACTAGTTAAGAGAATTGGAGCTGCAACTGCTCTTGAAGTTAGAGCAACAGGAATCCAATATGTTTATGCACCTTGCATAGCAGTAAGTAATTGCAATTTACAACCCACTTTTTATGTTCTCAACTTATGGAGATCTTTAATCACAGGGTTATACTCTTTGTAGGTCTGTAGAGATCCAAGATGGGGTCGGTGTTATGAAAGCTACAGTGAAGATCCTAAACTAGTTCAAGCTATGACTGAAATCATACCAGGATTGCAAGGGGACATACCCGATAATTTACCAAAGAGTGTCCCTTTTATCAGTGGGAAGTAAGACTTTTAAAAACAAAATAATTTAATTTTAAGATGATTTTTTTCCAGTATCAGTTAGTTAAACCCTGGAAGTTGATAGTTTTGCTCTTTATTCTACTGAATTTTTAAAAGGTCCAAAGAAACTGTTATAGTGTTATTCCTTTAGTCAATGGTTTTGTTCTTAATTCACAAGTTTTTTCCACATCCTAATCCTGTACCTGTTCTAACATGGAACTTCAACCTTTAGAAGCAAGTTGCTATGCTTCAGAACAGGAATATGTAAATTTGGTTGTGTTTTCCAACCCTTTTATTTATATTTGTATCATTCCTTATTTTTACACAAGCCACTAGGATGAAATAGATCAAATGGTTAAAAGGGAATAGATAATTTGTTCCCTAAAGCATAGATGAGAGACTCTGTACCTAGAGCAATATGCTGCTTAGGTTAGACTATTCCATGCTAAAGAATTTCTATGTTAAATTATGCTTTTGATTTTGGTTCAGTTAGTATTTGGTTTCTGAAGTACTCATGTATTGTTGGACAGAGAAAAAGTTCTAGCTTGTGCTAAGCATTACGTGGGTGATGGTGGAACAATCAATGGGATTGATGAGAACAACACTGTTATAGATAGAGATGGATTGATGAGAATTCACATGCCAGGTTACTTCAGTTCAATCAGCAAGGGTGTGGCCACCATTATGGTCTCTTATTCCAGTTGGAATGGAGTAAAAATGCATGCTAACCATGACCTTATTACTGGCTTCCTCAAGAATACTCTCCATTTCAAGGTAAAATAATTTGTTTGTTGAATATGTTGGAAAATCTTAAATTTCTAGAGATTCCGAGATATACTTCATACAAAATTAGTTCTACAATAACCGATTTTAAAAATTATGTACTCAATGAATAAACCCGTTCACTCTTTTCATGATCTTGTACGTGCTATGTCGCCTCTGATCTCTCGTCTCTCTATCTAGGCCCATTGTTCTCTTCATTTCTATTAGGCTCACCATTCATTCCTTTACTCTCTCACGCTTTCATCAACTCTATTGTGATCGTAAGAGTCAAGTTTCTTCGTATAGAAGACCTAACAGTCTTTAGCATCTCCATGATACATTGACCATATGAAAGAGTAATTTAAAAATAAAATTATAAATAAAATATTTTTAAAAAAAGCCTATTGCTTTTATTAATAATTACAAATATATCTTTTTAATGTGACTCAAATATTTTTCTAGTTTGGTTCGAGTCCACAAGTATATTAGAAAAGTCCGGGTAATTACACAACGGTGACATGTCATGATAATCTTTTCCTATATTCAAATTACACTGTATATTGACATGTCATGATAATGTTTCCTATGTTGGAATTACGTGAGGTAGGCATATACATCATGATAATCTCTTTCCATATCTTCGAATAACTTACTTGACCAAATAATTTATGAATATATTATTTATATTTTATGATGTTATAAGTATTTTTAAATTAATTGTTTGACTAAAAAACATATGGTCAATTTTTTTTTTAATATTTGACTACAAATATTTTTAGAATGATTACTTAAAATATTAAAAATAATTACTTATTAAATAAAGAATCAGTTTCCTTTAATTAGTATTAAATAGAAACAACTCTTCCAGTGGCGTGAGAGAAACTAGAAGGAAAAATTGTGTAATCTGTAATCTGTTTTAAGTTTGTAAGCATTTTTGTTGTAAAATTGTGTTTAATTATGTGGTTAATTTACGTGTGTATTATAAGTTTATCTGTTGTATCATTTCATGTAATGCTCTTTATCTTGTGAAAAAATGCATAGAATTAACTTATTTTATATAAAAATAGGTGGTTTTGTAATTTATTAATTAACTTAACTTTTATATCAAGGGTGTTTAATTCAGTTGTTTGAGAATATATATATATATATATATATAAGAGTTCAAACGATATCAGTGTAACTTTAACTAAGTGTTACACCGCTCAATAACTTTATATTTCATACATAACAAGAAAATTATTAATACAAAAATTACTTTTAAAATTGGGGTTTTAAAATTTGTTAAAAAGTAGTTAATTTTAAAAGTGACGCGGTAACAATTTTGTAAATAATGACATTATGTTTTAAATTGGTTAACTTTCAACCGATTTTAAAAGGTCTTTGATGCTACTTTTAAGATTGATTATTTTAGAACCAATTTTATATGTAGTATACAAAATCAGTTCCTAAATAATTTAAAAAAGCTACTTTTAAAATTGGTTATTTAAGAACCAATTTTATATACTTCATACAAAATTAGTTCTACAATAACCGATTTTAAAAATTATGTACTCAAAGAATAAACCCGTTCACTCTTTTCATGATCTTGTACGTGCTATGTCGCCTCTGATCTCTCGTCTTAAAATTGGTTATTTAAGAACCAATTTTATATACTTCATACAAAATTAGTTCTACAATAACCGATTTTAAAAATTATGTACTCAATGAATAAACCCGTTCACTCTTTTCATGATCTTGTACGTGCTATGTCGCCTCTGATCTCTCGTCTCTCTATCTAGGCCCATTGTTCTCTTCATTTCTATTAGGCTCACCATTCATTCCTTTACTCTCTCACGCTTTCATCAACTCTATTGTGATCGTAAGAGTCAAGTTTCTTCGTATAGAAGACCTAACAGTCTTTAGCATCTCCATGATACATTGACCATATGAAAGAGTAATTTAAAAATAAAATTATAAATAAAATATTTTTAAAAAAAGCCTATTGCTTTTATTAATAATTACAAATATATCTTTTTAATGTGACTCAAATATTTTTCTAGTTTGGTTCGAGTCCACAAGTATATTAGAAAAGTCCGGGTAATTACACAACGGTGACATGTCATGATAATCTTTTCCTATATTCAAATTACACTGTATATTGACATGTCATGATAATGTTTCCTATGTTGGAATTACGTGAGGTAGGCATATACATCATGATAATCTCTTTCCATATCTTCGAATAACTTACTTGACCAAATAATTTATGAATATATTATTTATATTTTATGATGTTATAAGTATTTTTAAATTAATTGTTTGACTAAAAAACATATGGTCAATTTTTTTTTTAATATTTGACTACAAATATTTTTAGAATGATTACTTAAAATATTAAAAATAATTACTTATTAAATAAAGAATCAGTTTCCTTTAATTAGTATTAAATAGAAACAACTCTTCCAGTGGCGTGAGAGAAACTAGAAGGAAAAATTGTGTAATCTGTAATCTGTTTTAAGTTTGTAAGCATTTTTGTTGTAAAATTGTGTTTAATTATGTGGTTAATTTACGTGTGTATTATAAGTTTATCTGTTGTATCATTTCATGTAATGCTCTTTATCTTGTGAAAAAATGCATAGAATTAACTTATTTTATATAAAAATAGGTGGTTTTGTAATTTATTAATTAACTTAACTTTTATATCAAGGGTGTTTAATTCAGTTGTTTGAGAATATATATATATATATATATATAAGAGTTCAAACGATATCAGTGTAACTTTAACTAAGTGTTACACCGCTCAATAACTTTATAT